TGGTTCAGCCGACCCCAGCTCTGACTGGAATGCCCCCTCTGAAGCCTGGGGCAACTTCGAGGAGCCCACTCCTGAGCTGGCTCCTGCTCAGGAGAAGACCCTCCCTGAGCCTATCAAGGTTAATCTTCTGATCAGAGTCACTCTTACATATGCCCAGGCTTGAGGCAAAGCTGAGCATTCTTCTGGTTACCTGGAAGCTCAAAACACAACAAGCCCGTAGTTGATGAGTCCTCTGGGCTCATCATGGCAGCTGTCTTGGTTCTTCTTTGTTGCTCATAATAGTGACTCAACAGAGTGAATACACACAGGAACTCTGTTGTTTTACTTTTTATTTAAGAATAGTAAAGCCATGACTCTCCTACAAAGTTCATCTACAGTGGCTGACATCTCAGGACTATCTGGATGTGTAAAAAGCATGTTTTTACCATTTTTTGTCATGACACACATTGTGATTAGTCATAGCATAGAAAATAGATGTGTTTATGTATAGATGTACATTATCATTAATGTAAATGCTGGTGTTTACCATGCATCACTTCATCAATGCTATATTTTAGATTGCCTCCAGATGGTGATAAGAATTTTAAATCTGAGACACAATATGCATAACTGAACTTCTCTTTTATTCCATTTTCAGTGAATCTGAATTATTCAGCTTAAAATGTCATGTTTGTTACTGTTTAACATTTTTAATCACTTTCTTTCTCTCTGACCGTATGTTATGTTTGTGTTCCTCAGGTTGATGACGAGGATGAAAAGGACAAGGGAGAGACTGCTTCTGATGGAGCAGCTAAAACTAAAAAGAAAAAGAAGAAGAAGAAGAAGGCTGCAGAGGAGGGAGGAGCTACTGACCAGGTAACCACCAATGAGAAAAACAATTTTCTGTTCTTTCAGTCTTTGACATGTAAACTCAACTTGTTTCTTGTCAAGGGCGAGGAGCCAGAGAAGGAGGCAACACCTGCAGCCTCGGTGAAGAAGCATCCACCTCTTCAGGAGAATCCTGCTGCAACCCAGCCTGTCAAAGCAGCTGCTGCTGCTGAGGTCAGTTGAGCTTATACTTGACACAAAAGCATGTGTAGTCTAAACGTGTTCCTCTTCAAGATCCGCAGAACTCTCATCTGTAGGTTAACTATTCTGGTGTGATCTTGGATACATACATTTTCAGATGCGTTCAATTTTTTTTTAATAACTGCAATTATAAAAAGAGTGTTTTACTTTTCCTGTTAGGCAAGAGTTGAGCGACCAGTGAAGGGCAACGTATCCCCAAAACCCCCCGTCACTCAAGTGCCACAGAAGCCCACTGATGGAGAGACCACTGCCAAGCAGAACAGCCTTCCTGCTCCAGCTCAACAGAGTAAGCACACTGGGCCTCATTCACCAATATCTAAGAACTTTTCTCAGAAAACATTACATAAGAATAACAACGCTTTAAACTGCAGAATTCTTCGCAGTCTATGTTCTTATATTGAAGAATGCCATGTCTTTGTAAGTTAAAAGCGCGTGCCAGTTTTTCCTAATTAGCAAAGGTAAACGCCCCACCAATGCTCATAGAAGGGCATGAGACTGCAGTGCCATGTGCACACCATACAGTTTATGGTGCACAGAACTCACAGAAACTCACGTTTAAGAAGCCAGGAGTGATTGAACAAAAATTTAATGACAGCACCGCACCAGATTCAAACTGTTAAAAAAGTTGTTATACTGTTTAGTGACAGCAGTGGACATAAAATACCACAATTAAACGATCCATGGAATACAGTTACACATTAAGTCAGAGCTGTATTGGGAGAAAGTCGCATAATTGAAGTAAACAAATGGTTTGATCTCGGATAGATTTGAAGTCAAAATAAATATTGCCAAAACCAGAAGAGCGAGAGGGGAAGGGTGTTAGGAGTTATCTGAGCTGGGGCAGCGCATCATTGGAAACAAATGCACTGCAGGTAAACCGGCAGCTGAGCATCTGTGGATACTTGACCCGAGCCTGACAGATCCATCAGGACCGATCATGCCTTTTCAGACCAAATGTTTTGAATAATATTTGGGTTCAGGTCCTGCGTGGGTCGCCCACAGGGAGATGCAACCATGCTGTGTGGGGAACTAAAGCTGTAAACACTGCAAGGAAACCTTTAACTTGGTGCATTATTGAAGATACTAATGTAGACCTATCATGATAACAAATTGTTGGATGATGTTTTGTTCCAGAATTTATTTTGATAAATTACATTATTGTCATAATTTTGAAACCATTTCATACCACTGATATATTGATAATATCATAGCATAATAATAGTAATAATCTTTTCGAAGAGCAATTTACCTTGAATTCTTAAGAATATTCAGTTTGACATTTAAATTATAATTCAAAATATTAAAATAAATGATTAGCACATAAATATAATAAACCTTGCATAACCAAAACAATAAACAACTCTGGTGCTGTTAACAAAAATTGCTTGTATTATATTTATTTATTTATTAATCGATGGTGTCAGATCATGAACCGGATCATTACGGTCACTTTCACACTGATGTCCTCGTTTGCACGTCACAACACGAGATGAGTGATCAGGTAAATGGTAAATGGTGAATTTATATAGCGCTTGAATACAGGTCCTAATAACTTGTGATGAGTGTTGGTGTTTATTAGTTAAAGAGAGAGTAGTGTGGAGGGGGGGCACAGGAAACTCCTGCACGGTACAAATCCACTGCTGCTTCTGCTCTGATAATGAAGCTGGATTTTAATCAGAGAATCGAAAATCTTTTTCTATTTTTTTTTTTAACCCAGCCCTTGGTGTGTCCCTACTGATGTGAAACACTCAATCACATGTTCAGAGTTGTCTGACTAACCATCCTCTCCTTTTTTGTGTCCTCAGAAAAACCTGAGGAGAGCCAAGCCCCTAAACCAGCAAAGAAGAAGAAGGCAAGAAGAGAGACATGAGATCGAGTCCACTTGGCAGACCTCTGTATGCAAAGGACTTCATATCCTGTTTATGCAACACCTTTTGTGACAAGGACTTTGAACTAGGGTCTTCAAGATGAACTTACCTTAAACACATGTCGGGAAAATGAAAACCATTTTTATACACGTGGAGTGTCAGTCAGTGGATCATTGAAAACTGAACCTAGATGCAGTGCAGTCTAATCTAATGCGGTTAATGATTTTAAGTACGCATTTGAAACTGATTCTGTCTTCTAATTCTACTGAATCAAATAACGGATTGAAGGAGCTGTATTGTAATCATTAGGCCTGTTGAAAATACTGATCATGTGTAGAAAATTGACGTCAGTGGCTAACGACTGGAGTGTCCTGTGCAGAGAATGAAAATGGTCAACTTGCATCAGGTCACAAAGTACTCGGGCCACGATGTTGATCTGGATTTTGATTTTCAGTCTTTTACTTTTGCTCTGAAATTTGTGAGCCATGATGGTACAGTGAGCACCAATGGGTGAATAGAGCACAGCGATCAAATGTTTATTTCACACAAACGGTTTTGGCTCAGTAGGATGTAAAACATTTGTGACATTAATGAGACATGAGCATCATTAGGCACAGGAAAGGGAATCTTGTCTGCTCTGTATTTTTGCATTCTTTTGTGTGACTACAACATTTCATTGACTTGATCCATCTGGTTTGTCCTTTATCTGACATTGTACTGCAGTGTGTCAACAACTGTGTCCTTGCTGTTTTTACTATCTGACTGCTTTGTGGCTTGAGCCGTGCGGGAGCCTCTGATCATAGATGTACCATGGTGTCACTGACCTCTTCATGATTTTCCACCTGTGGTTGATTTGGAAATCTTCAGAAACTTTTGTAAAACTTGTTTGTAATAAAAGAAACGCTAAAGCCATATGTAAAAATACTAAATAAAGGCCAGTTTTCTATGGTCAGGCTTCTTTGTGTTACACGGTTTGAGTCAGCAGCCTACAGAGGTCCTGAGTGGTGCAAGTGTGCACAAGATAAATCACCTTGAGGTGCCCCATGGAAACCGTCCACTGTGTAATGATTAATGAAAGAGGACGAGCTGTCATTTAATGAAGCGTACTGGGAAACAAGAAGCTATATTGAGCCTCAGGCCTCCAGGCTATCCTTTACTATATATATATACTCAGCCTAAAACCACAGTTTTATAGGATATCAGAAAAGAAGAATGAGTTGACTTGACATATGGGCTAAAAGTAATTGAATACAGTGGGAGGTGTAAAATGTGATGGGTTACATCACCGGATTGGAGCCTGTCTTGTCTGTCTGGTACGTCAAGTTAAAGAGTAAAACAGAACAAAACTGGAAGCAGTATGTTTTTGTTTTCAAAATAATAGAACTGCAAGAAGAATTATCAGGCTTTTTTGTCTACAGATGGTTCGAAAAAACAAAACTAGAACAACTGAAGCACTGACGTGAACTCAAGGAATAAACATTACATGATCATGTTTATAATACTTGATTGTATTATACATATATGTAACTGATATCTTTTAGTGTAAGTGTAAATATATTTTATACAGTTGGTGTTGCAAAATGGGGACACTATAATTAATTTATAATTAATTATTTGATAACTATAATCTATTTCATTTAATTATTTAAATGGTATATACATTCTACTAATTAGCAAAGTAGAATTCACTCTGTATATGAATATATATATTATACGTAGGCCCTATATTTATATGATTTATGTACATATATTTATAGATATCTTATCCATTGACTTATAACTAGTTTCAATGGGGCACTTCAAAATTGTATTAAAGAATACATAAATTAAATGTTAAAAATATGTGCGGGCTATATATGGTAGAAACCAGTATTGTGAAAACCACACCCAAATGTGACAACATTTTAAAACATGCAATATCTTCAGTACACGTTATATATCAGTATAAAAGAGAAAATTCGATATGTATATTTGTATGACAAATCGCAACACAGATATCAATGTCTTACTTTGAAAAGGACGTTTCCTGTTTGCCTGACGCTGACTTGACGCGTCTCTCGGCGAGGAGCGGCGGTCAGTTCGGAAGCAGTCGGGTCCCGTTCGTCATTCCTCGGCGAGCTTCGACGCTCGGCGGACGCTCCCTGGAGAGCGGGCTCCCTGTCCCTTGATGCCCGGCGCAGTGCTGTGAGACAGCGGACTGACGATGCTGATCTCCCCGTGGGACCGCTGGTACTCCACCAGCTGCTGCCTGTGCTGCCATGTCCGCACAGGAACCATCATCCTGGGAGTCTGGTACATGGTGAGCACCGCCCGGTTAGTTAGTCCCTCACTGCTCCTGTAGACATCCAGTAACACTATCACCAGGGAAAACACCTTTGTGCTAATGATGGATTTTACTGTAAGAGCCTGAGCAGTTGTTATTTGCAGAAGAGGAGTTCATTAGTTTTCTTTAAAGACCACATCATAGCAGAAGTTCTCAGTTTGTTGTACTTAAAGTCACTGAGGTAGTAACGTGGACATAAAGGAATTATTTAACTTCAGGTGGAAAATAACTCATAATGTTTGGTTATTTCACACAATGAAAACATGAACATCTACGTATCCTCTTTGTTTCACTGTTAAATCTAAATGTGGAATATATCAATGAACTGGTGGTTAGTGAATGCACATGACAAACACTGCAAGTGGAAAAATCCTCTCTCTGCTTCCTATGAATAAATTAGCAGTGGGCCTCTTCAGGTAGCAGCCTTTGTGTCAAGCTGCCAATTGACTGCAAAGAATTTTCCATTGCATCCACCTGAGCAGTGGGGATGTATGAGTCATCTGCATAATGAGCTGCACCAGCCAGACCAAAACAAAGACGTGCCTGCAGAACTTCCAATTTAATATAACGAAACTATTTCCAGGGACAAAGTTAAATTGATTGTATTTAGGTTTGTACAGTTGTTGCTTATGGAGAGGGACATAGACCACCCTGCAGCTTGTTGAGATGATCCATGTATGCCAGGTCACAGATTTAGAAAGCTTAAAAATACATTCAGCATCTGCACCTTTTCAGGCTCCTGTTCCTCCTCCTCCGCTCCATCTCCTGTCCATATTTCCCCTGTCTGTCTGACTGTCTGTCCATGCGGTTGCCTTATCTTTATCTGACCATATGTCCCTTGTCCCTAAGCTCATCAATGCTGTGGTGCTCCTCATCCTGCTCACAGCCCTCAGTGATCCTGAGCAGTACCACCTGACCAGCGCTGAGTTGGCTAATGACCTGGATGTCATGGACGATGCCAGTAAGTAGCCCAGAGGGCTGGTGCTTCACAGAAAATGTCCCATATGTAGTCCCACAGTTAAGTGAGGAGAATAGCAGAGACACTGCCAACCGAATTATCAGTTTAGTAATGTAATGTGCACATCTACTCATCCTTACTTGTACTATTTTTAATTAAATGCATCAGTGTCCTCTTGCTCATCTGTATCACAAATACCCAACATATATACAATATGTAGGCCTCTTATTTTTAAATTCACCCAATTATCCAATTTTTATATTCATATCATATTATATATGATTTAGAATTTACATATATATATATATATATACGTGTGTGTGTGTTTTTTTTCTTCAATATCTCCTTATACTAATGCACAAATAAGTCTCATCACAAATAATATTTCCGTGGGATCAATAAAGTTTCTCTTATTTTAGTATGCTCTAGTTTCTGCTACACGTAATGACGTCTACTCTGTAAGAAAAACCCTTTCTATTCCACCTGAAACCAAATCTCCTGAAATTGACTGTGACAGATGACTTAATCTCTGCTTGTGGGGTGAAAGGTTCAGTCGTGTTGGCAGGCAACTGACTAATGGAGGGATTTATTATTGTTGTCAGAGGGACCTCACACATTTGTCTAGACGACATGCAGCGTTTCTTTTTGGATCTAACACCCAAAGCCACAGACACGCAAACCTAATGAAAAGCCTTCTTAACAGACCGGGTGTAAACTGGAGCAGTCTGACTGGAGATGGCTGCTGGTGACCTCTGATTGGGAATGACTGTTATGTCCCAGCTCCAGTGGATTCGGTTTACGGTCCCTATGATCCATTAATTCGAATTAGATTAAGAATTAGAAAGTCATTGCACAAAATCAATATGCCTGGAGGTGCAGGCTTTAGAGTCCCTGTAATGTTGCTCTGATCTGACAAACAACAAGATGAGCTGACAATTACTGTGTGATCGTTTACTCTCTCAACATCCAATGACTGTCCAGAGACTTGTTGTATAGCATAATATTTTCCTCCCCCAATGATTTAACTGATGATTGTAGTGAATAATGAAGACTCTGCCTCGATACAGGTGATCCTGCACAAATCAATCAATCGACAAATCCCCTTAAAAACTGCTGTCACCTGGAAACAAGTTGTCAGAAACCCGAGAGACAATGGAGTAAAAGCCAAATACACGTCACATTGTAATGAAAAATAATGTAGTTAGGTAATATAAAGCAATTGTAGCTCTTTAAATGTAATTGCTTCTGGTTTAAACTATCTCAGTCTTACTTGACTTTTGAGACTTTCTGCCTTTTCTACTGATTACATTTTATGTGTTTGAATAAATACTGTTTGATTTTTACAAAGTCTGCTGAATTAAATTCCATAAGATGTGGTACACTGCCTCTCTGGACACTTTTAAATGCTTTTATTAGCAAATGTGATTCATACTGTGACTCAGAACTGCAAAATATCCAGCATCAGTTATGTTGTCCATTTCTAAATGGCTTTTCAATGGGTCAGAGAACTGTTCTTCCATCAGATTCACAATCTGTGGTGAGTACTGACACATGGTTTTTGATTTTGCCTGCTGCTGTCATTACGTAACCGATCTGTTCTGTGGTAACATAACACAACGTTGTGTTATGTTGAGTTGATATGAGGTCAGGCTGACATGAAGCGCATCACAGGGCAGAGTCAATTCCTTGTTTGTTTGACAGATGCAACATGTTATTTATCTTCAACACACAATTTGTTTTCCCCAGATCAGCAGGACATGACGATAAAAAATATTTATAATATATATTTTCTAACTTAAATTTCCTTTCGTCTCCAGACATGTGCATCGCCTCAGCCATCTCTCTGCTGATGATTCTTATATGTGGGATGGCAACATATGGTGCATACAAGGTAAACTGATATACTTAAACAACGCACACAGTTACACACTGAACCTGTTAGTCTGACAGCGTGAGTGTTAATCAGAGAAGTTTCAAGTGTTTATTTCTGTAACATAAATGGTTTTCAAACTGTTTCAATGAATTATTAACAATTGCCATGCACGCCCACACTACATCTATTTTAGAGTCTTTGTAAACAGAAAAAATCTCCTTGCGACCCAATTTGAGGAATGATTTATGTCCACAGTGTCGGTTTGAAAGCTCAGCTCGATTCTCCGCTCCCAGATGAATATATCAGCCAATCCTGAATGAATATTTCTGTTTCAGCTGCGAGCCGCTTGGATCGTCCCATTTTTCTGCTACCAAATGTTTGATTTCGGTCTCAACACCCTGGTTGCCGTCAGCATTGTGGTGTATCCAAACACGATACAAGACTACCTGCAGCAGCTGGTGAGAGACCTCAGGTGTTTTCCTCTTTACAGGTGAAGTCAGTGACATCGACCAGCAGGATATAAACACCTATGTGGTTCAGAAAGGTTTCTGCAAACTTCTCATTTTTCATTTCACATGTCACATGATTTGTGATGCTGTGTTGTTTTTCTGATTTGCGTGCAGCCTGATAACTTCCCCTACAAAGAGGACATCGCTGCCCTCAGTAATGTCTGCCTGGTCCTCATTGTGCTGCTCTTCATCAGCTGCATTCTCGGCTTCAAGGTAAAGTTTTCTAACCTTAGGTTTCTCCTTATGTTGAGCAGGATTTATGGGAAGTTTTTTGACAAGAGCCATGTATCACACAGCACTGTTGAATTAGCATTTTTACCGTTTCTCACCTAAAGTACGAATAGCACTAATCAGAAGTTATGGCTGTGTCTAGCCATCGCAGTGAGACAGCGGGGCAGCATGCACAAAACCCACGACCCTGAAACTGAAGCAGCTAAATGGAATTCAGCCATTATTACTTTTATCTTTTAGCCCTGTGCTTTTTCTACTGTGACATATCTAAATGTCCTGCTCCTGCTCATAGACTGTTTATAAAGCTGGACAACATGTGTCCACTGTGTCCTCCCACTCTCCGGAAATGGAGCTAAAATATATCTGACATGAAATCCTGCTTCTGTTTGGAGTTTCAGTCTGCGCAGTAATGATCAGGGGAGGAGCCACATTAGTGATACACCAACCATCAACCAAATAGGAGCTGTCAATCATCTTTTACCCAGTTTTATACCAACAAATAACTCATTAAAACAGAACCAAATGGAAAAAATAAGCATTCGAACATATATCAGTCTGATAAGACTTAGATGAATGGATTTAATGTGTACCTGATGTGTACCCATCCATTAACCTGGTGGCAATAGAGGACACTCAAGATTCACTTATAAGAAGCCGTCATGTAGTCTTTCTTCTCTGGTTCTGACTCAAATGGGATGGATTGCTGTGACACTTGGTGCATACATTCATGGACAGCGACTGTGGTGATCCCCTGACTTTTAACTAGCGCCATCATCAGTTGATCTACGTGATCACACACCTGCAAATACATCAGTTGTACTGTGTGTGCAAGTTAGCATGCTCATATGCTAAGCTAAGATTGTGAATGTGCTGAACATTATACCTGTTGAATGTCAGCTTGTGAGTTTTGTCAATGTGAGCATTACTATGCTTATAGAGCCTGAAAGCTGCTGGCATGGCTGTGGGTTTATGGGATGGATGAGCGGGTTAGTCTCGCTAATTTGTAAGAGGCTTGACAAAGACAGATGATCTTTGTCAGATACAGCATGTTGTTGTGTGTTGTTTTGGTGATGATGAAACCGCAGTGGACAATAACATGTTTTTATCGTCATCGATGAGTGGGTTTAAATGAGCAAAGACCATGTAGAACACTCAGATTCTGTATCTAGCTCAGTTGTGAGGTCTGCTGTGATTTTAGCCTGATGGAAGGATTAGTTTTGCTTAATCAATATCATAATAACTGCAAGTATTGTTTGCAGGGGACCTGGAGGTAAATTTAGTCTCTGTTGTTGCTAATGAATATCTAAAAATCCCTGAGGAGGCTGAGCTTCTTAATTGGGTTACTATAGAAGTTAGAAGGCTCAGTGTGGTTTTGGTTCATGTAAGTGGACGGATGGAGCAGATGGTGTTGTGTTAGGCTGGACAGATCCAGCAGCAAGCTGCCTGATGAGGCTGGATTATTATTGGATGACAGAGACCAGCAGGAACTTTGCTTCTTTACAGTGATTTCTAACTCTCAGGTAGATGCTGAAACAACAAGCGAGAATGAATTATAATTAAATTTGAGTTTTTATCTTAAAAACATATTGGTAGGCTGTACAATATGACTAAACTCGTTATCCAAAAATAGGTGATTCAATATCATAAATATTGTATATTTGATATCACAATATAAATCATTTTCAATTTGAAATTAATAAAATTAGTTCATGGAAGGCCCATTTCTAATTACATTTTGAATTATATACTTAAAAGGTATATGTGATTATTTTTTCTAGCTTTAATATTTACCTCTGTGTAAACTTTCACAAGGGATGAAACAGAATAGAAACTATGAAGTTGTTATATAACTATACATTTTACACTTGCATCACAGCTTCACATGAGACAAAGTGACCTGATTGTATTTGGAGCAGCTTGGTAGAGTAATTCAATATTAATGTTGAAAATACTGTTTTCTTGAAAGTACAAATCTGCCTCAACTGTCCTTAAAATCTAGAATATAAAGATACAATATATTAATTCATTAGTTAATATACTCTGTACCATTAATAGGGCGGCTTTGGCTGGGGGGTAGAGCGGTCGTCCTCCAACCAGAAGTTCGATGGTTTGCATGTCTAAGTGTCCTCGATGCTGAACCTCGAATTGCCCCTCATAGAACGTGTGCTGCTGATTGATGCACTGTATGAATGTGTGTGTGAATGGGTGAACGGCAAAGAACTGTACTGTAAAGTGCTTTTAATGTTGATCAAGACTAGAAAAGCTCTATATAAATACAACCATTTACCATTTAAAGGTTCAGTGTGTAGAACACTGAACCTTTAACACTGACACTGACATCTAGTGGTGAAGTTGCATGTTGCTTCTGAATACCCCTCACCTCACCCTCCCCTTCCAAACATGACAGTTCTCATAAAAACTCAAAAGGTGTTTAGTTTGTCCAGTTTGGATTACTGTAAAAAACATGGCGGCCTCCATAGGATCCCGTCCTTGGAAATATAAACACACACACACACTAGTGAAAACATCACTAGGATTATTTTATATTCAATTTCTGTCAATGGATCCCTTTCATCTAAATCTGACACACTGGAACTTGAATAGATTATATTGACATTTCATGTTATGCAGTTCAAACTTGTCATCTGTTTTTTTTTTCTTTCTGCCCGGTATCAGGCTTACCTCATAGCATGTGTGTGGAACTGCTACAGATATGTGAATGGCTGGGGTTCTTCTGAAATCCTGCTCTACGTTACAACCAACGACACCACGGTAAGTCACCTCTGATGAAGTCTCACATTGCTATCATGGGTTCAGAGTTTAAAATCTGGGTTTAAAGATTAAAGCTGGTGAAATTAAATGATTGAAAAATATATTCCTCAAATTGAAAATGAATATAGAATATTAAAAACAGCTGGGCAGTTCGGTTTTCTTGCAAACTTTAGTCAAACGGGAGTAAATGGTACATTTGTCTGGGACTATTTTCAGTGGTGGATTTATACAACAGTTAATCAAAAAACTACATTCCTAATAATGAACTAGAGCCTCATCAATATATTAATCTGGTCATTTTATTAACCTATGTCAACATTTCAGATATATCAGCATTGGCGGCAGGATTTTTTAAAGAACATTATTCAGAAAAAATATATATTCAGTCCATCTGGAATGAGCCCTTTGAGCAGCTGAACAGAAACAATGAAACAGAGTAAATTCATTTTCTCTACAAATGGACCAACAAGAAAGTACAGAATAACACGACATGTCATTTTAAACAGAAGTAACATTTTGCTGAGTCTATGCTCCAATTGTGGGATAAACAAACCCTGTGGAAGAAAAGAACATTTCTTCTATTTTTTGTCCTGTTAGACCACCTGTGAGAGTGTTCAGCACATTTTCCAATGAGCTGTTCCTAACATCTTGGTGAAAAGCTCAGTAATTGTCTGAGTGTTTTCACCTCAGCACTAAAAACATGTGCATTCCTCTTGTGCTGTATACAGCTGGACAAATACTTCTCTCTCTATATAAAACAATTTCTTATAAATACAAATGATGAACGAGTCAGCAGATATTATTGAAATATTGAAATGAAGAGGATCGAATGAGAAAACAAGAATATTAATAATAACAACAATAATGCTATTCATAATAGTTATAAATACATTTAGTTAGTTATAATAACTGTATAATTAATTCATATAGTCAATAAACTTTATGTTTCACCTCTAAAAACAGGTTTATTAATTGATTTGATAGACAAAGTAGAGAATGCAGAATGGCACTGTGTAGAGTGTGTACCTCCACCAAGGCACAGCAGTTCCCTTAAATTCATTCAAGCTGCACCTAATTTCACACACTCATAGATATCAGTCGGATTTTTTAACTTAAAAAAATGTTAAAGAAAGTGGAAAAAAAAAGGTTTTGTGGTAATTCTGCTAACAATCAAATCAACCAACATACTAACGAACCAACCAGCCAATAAACAAACTTAAAAACCATCACTCTGCATGTTTTAAATGTTTTAGATCTTATACACTCACATTATTATATAGTTTATAAAATATTTTTTTTCATCTAGAGATCCATTATAAAACATATCTGATCTTGACCAGGAGCCTGTACTCCAAGGCAGGATTTGTATTTATTGGGGTAACTTCGGGTTTACTTCAGGGTTTTAGTATGACAGCTCGTTCACTTCTTATCACCATGGAACTTGCTGAACAGCTAAATTCAGAGACCGACAAAACCCTTTTGCCTACTGGAATGAGTATCTTTAAGATATATAAAGATTCTCATCAGAGGGAATGTTAAACCTTTGTCAGCTGCTGGAGCCGCATATACAGTATATCCAACCCGACACTTATGGGAGTTACCTGCTCACTGTGGGTGATGGTGGAGTTTATTTTTCCTTTGCACCCAAGTGAGCTTGAACCCACCAGGGTTGCACCTGAAAGGCTAAAACACAATGAAAATACGTGTAATGATAGGAAAGTTTTACTATAAAAACATTATATTTGGAAAACAGTAGGAAAACCTGGGTTGACTTATCGAGTTGATCAACAGCTTTGTGTTAGGTTAAATTATGCCGGACCACTGAAAGATATTTGGGATATGTTGACCTCGCTTTATAGTACTGACTTCTGCTCCTTCTTTCATGTCTAAAATGCAGCAAAACAACTCCCATGGAAAAAATGATCTCCTCGTTCAATCCAGAAGTCACGTTTTTATCATCTGTGCAGGTTTGCTGTGCTCAGGCCAGTCTAGCAGCTGTAAAATCATTGTGTTGAAGAGGGGAAGGAAGTTGAACGCTGAGATGTAGTAGTAAGTAGTTTTATGCGGTCACAGTAGAACGGATGAATGAAGAGACTTGGAAGAAGAGATGAGACTCCATGCTGGCAAAGCCATTATGATGGGGGCTAAAGTACAGTAGTAATACAGTGAGGTCTGTCTAACTGTACTGGGGTCACCGATCGGTGTCCTGCTGTCCGGGTCTGGCCCTCGGATTGTGACTAGCCTGCTGCCCACACATGTATAATAACTAACACTTTGACAGAAAGGAGAAGGAAACCAAGGCTGTAAAAACACGAATGACATGTTATGACTATCTGGAAATATGGAACAGTTAAGCTGTGAGCTGTGAGCTGTGAGCTGTGAGCTGTGAGCTGTGAGCTGCCTGCTCCATTAAAACTGACATCTGACCTCGCAGTCTGCTGGGTTTCACAAGTACTTGGTGAAATCTGTTCTCTTCAGTCGGCAGCTTAAGACTCCTCAGGGTGTAACATTCCACATGATTTGAAACAATCCACTGCACTCGTCAGCTTTACACACTGTGCAGCTTCATGTGATGTTGAAAGAAACAGAAACGTCCACACAGGCTCATAATGTGTAAAACACCTGAGCTGTAAGGAGAGAAGCAGGAGGCCACTCTCTGTCTCTCTGACATCATTAGTGAAAAGGGCCAGAAAAACACTGCCCCTTCATTTCCTAACATTTGCCTCACCTCTGTGGGTGTGTGATTCAATAAAAGCTCACACGCATGTTTGTGGCTTTTGGACAGCAGCTTGCATGGCAGTATATCACTTATACAGTGGTTAGGTTGATGCTAATTCATTCCACATGAACAAAATACCTGCACATACAGAGAAGTCACTCACACAGTCAGGTACTTTTTTGGTATCAAAGGAGCAACATAAAGTTAGCAATCGATATAACTCATAGAACAGAATGAGTATAACTGTTTTCCAAGGTTTGTAAAGATGTGGGAACAGGGTTATCATCACAAATCTGAGACAAATGGGAAAATGCTGCTGAGGGGTGAATGTTTGGGAAAGTCAATATACAGAGAAATATCAACAACTGTGTCTTCTATACATTTTAAACTGCAAAATATGTTTTCTACTGTAAGGATAGGTTATTCATTTACATGTTTGGCAGATATCTGATACAGTAAAATAGCAGCCTGTAGTGACTGCAGCATAATTTTATGATTATATTTTTGTATATTTTGGAACACACAGCACTTGGTTTAATGTAAATAAACACATGAAGTTGCTGCAAACTTGTTCTGTATGAAACAAGACCTTTTTTTTTCTCTAATCGTAACCAAAGAGCTTTCATTATACCCAAATCTCCATCCTCATGGAAATCCACGGCTGTTACTAAATATTCATTCAAAAATATGTTCTCTCTGAACATAATACAACCAGTGATCACACTTCAGTCAGGAGAGACCTCAACTCTAGAATAATCAACATTTTAATGCAGTTTATTTGGAAATCTGACATTTACACAGAAGAGACAATTATATGTCCAACATCCATGTACAATTCCTGATTCAATAGGTTGCACATACTGTCATTCCTTGTTTACTGTTAGTTCTAAAGCTTTGAGCAAAGCCACACATCTTTGAATATGGTTTGAAAATGGTTCCTTTTTGAAGCACAATGTATTTCAAAAAAGCTTCAAAAATTGGCACAATTTGTCATTTTTATTTTTTTCTCTTAAATGTTTCATTTTCTCCAAAATTCATGTTTTCCCTATTTAATTCCTATGTTTGGAAATGCAGCCGCTGCCTCATTATAACATTACAACAAAAACAGGCTCAGAGACATAATTTTCACAACACTGCAATTGATCTTACTGATAATGAATTATTCTTGTCTGGTGAAAGAACAACTCATACTGACCAAATGCTGTTTTTGCTCTTCTTCGCTCTTCATCTTCAGGTGCTGTTACCTCCGTATGATGACAGCGCCAGTGTCCCTCCCAAGCAGGCTCCTCCACCCTACCCCACTGCTACAGCTTGAAAACATTCCCCAGGATGCTGCTGTCCTTCAGAAAATCCCAGAAAATCTTATGCACCACACTGCCTCTCTACGCTCACATTACAGTACACCTCACACATGCACGTACAAGATCACGTCACACACATTATGCACACACCACTACCTTACTATAGCCCCATGTCCCTTCTTGTTATTTGTTGTTAAACTCTTAATCTCCCTGTAACTTTTCCCTGTATGTTTTCTGTCTCTGTGTTATTCCAGATATAATGTGCTTTTTAATGCATCTGGGTGAGGTGACATATGAATAGAAGTAGAACGTTTGATAGACGATAGATTCCATATATTTGTATTTATTGTATTTATGCTCTGTGTGTTTCTGTGATAGTATTTTGGGAGTCTTAACTTTGATATTCATATTGAACGTATGCACAAGTGCAAAAATGATGACATTAATGTGTCATGAGTCATCATAAGATTCCTGTTTGTCCTGCCTCTGCTTGTGATCAGGGTGGAATTGCCTTCATTCATAACTGTTTCTCTGATGGGGTTCACTTTACAGAGCCTTGTGTCCCCTTGACTGGAAGTTTTCCTAAAGTAATGCAACTACCTGTAATCTGATGTGACCTTACAGCAACCTAGTGTATATAAAACATATCACCTTCTCCTACTGTTGTATTCAACTGCTGACACAACTGTCTTCTGTTAGAAACATCAGGAGCGGTGGGTTGTGCTGGTTGACCCTCCTCACTTTTAAAATGTAAACTGTGTGTTTCTACTGAAATGTCTAGAGCTGCTATTTATCTATTTTGACAGCGCAGACATAGCACTGATCTGGAATCAGTTTGCTCTTTGAAGTCACTATGAATGAGTCGCTCCTGGGAACCTGTTGCTGTGACTGCAGATCAGGCTTCTCTGCATACTCAGGAGCTCAGTAAATATGGACGCTGGTTGTGGTTTTTCAATTAAACTAACGGGAGCGTTTGGTCTGTGTAAACATGTGAGTCTGTTCCACCAGATGCAGTGATATTGGCAAGCTGCTCTGTGGACGCAAAATGTCCTGTGAGGACACACAAGTCAGACTTATGGACTGCTGCTGGATGAAAAATAAAGATGTAACATTTATTTGTCTATTAAAATCTAATCTCACCAACTACGGTTTGTGTTTTATTTTGATGGTGACACTTGAATCAAAAAGAGGTTTGTGGTGACGCTAATGTCATATAGCAAATTATTAAACTTGCACCTAACACAACTGACACATATTATTTGAAAGGAAAATGTTTCTGCCACATTATGTCCTCCACCCTACCCCTGGAAATGATTCCGAAGATGTGTATAAATGTGTTCGTCATGACGCGGGTGGCGCCACCACAATGGGTGACAGTGTAATGATCGTACCTACTGTGTATTTCCATAACATGCCGCTTCAAAGCCTTTGACTGGGGATATCAAGAGTTGGTCCATGTGTGACTTGAGAATTTAAAACACATCTTTCACAGTGATCTGCAGGAAGCTATTGATTAAAGGTTATTACTTTCAATATATTTGTCCTCAGATTCCTTAGTTAATTATCATGATCAAATTTAAAACGTGAAATGTTCCAGACTCCACCTTACATACATGTGAAATGTTTCAGACTCCACCTTACATACATGTAAAATGTTTCAGACTCCACCTTACATACATGTGAAATGTT